GGGATACAAAACTTTTTTAGAACACCGGTAGACGGCAGCCATTACAGACGAACATGTGTTTGTTGTTGTTCCAGCAGTGGCCCGGTCACACTAATGTCATTAGTTTGTTATCATTACTAAGGTGCAGGACTGCTTTTCCCCCTTTTTTTCACATCACGTCGCCTGCCTGGATCTGTTATTATCTCACTCTGAAGCACGGAGGAGTGTCAGAGGTGAGCTCGTTTCAACTGCTTTTCACAACATGGTCTCATTTCCGGACTCAATAATTTTGCCAATATTTCAGTTAAAATAAATTCGTAAAAATATTTATCCCAGTGCTACCCCCTCAACTTTATAGATGATTTTGTGGATTAAATTTTATGCATTATACTTGAATAAATATGGTACATCTTTTTAATTTATCACCAGATTTTTTTCTGAACTTTCCAAATTTTTCATGGCACAATGTATGTCAAACCTTTCCCAAAGATAAATACCAATACCGCAGGGTATCCAATATTAAAATCCTTAGACAGTATTCCAGAGAGYAGAAAATGCAAATGTGTTTTTAGAGTCCCAAAAATCAATACAATCTGTAAACATTCAATCTGAAAGAGGTTTCATTTGATAGGGGGCTAAGGATCCACTTTCTCTGCAAACATAAAAGTGAAGTTCATGTCATACATTACACAAACCCTGTCCAGAAGACATTTCTCCTACCTCACAGGCTGCTGTTATGAGCTCGCAGAGAAGCTGTGTGAGTCAGCATGAAGCTCTCAGTACACTGCTGGCTGCTGGCAGATGGCGACCTGCGTGGCGAACGCTGAAAACGACTACACCGGCTGAAGTAGTGGCCTGCCGACCAGGACCTGTTGCGCTTCCTCAGGTACTCCTTGTAGTTTTTGGTGAGTAGTGTGTACAGGAATGGGTTGATGCAGCTGTTCGAGTATGTCAGGCATGTGGTCAGGTAGTTAATGTTGCGTTTGGCTTTGTTGGAGAGAGACAATGAGGGGTAAAATTCACATAGTAGATGCCAGATCCAAAAAGGCAGGAAGCATGCCCAGAAGAGAAGCACAATGGTGAAAATCAGGTACAGCACCTTCATGGACAAAACAAAACGAAAATATAATTAATAGGAGTTAAAATGTGCAKYAATACACAAATACTGTTTTGTCATGCACTAACCTTTTGATTTGGTAGTTTCTTGGTCTGCTTGAAGCTTTCTGTTTGTGAAATCCAGTAAGTGCGTGCAAGYTGGATATAGAGAAAACCAATGACCAGTCCTGGAGCAATGATGCTTGTACAAAACAAGAAGGAGATGTAAACCTTGTAAGACAGTGGGGATAATGTGGGCTTGCAGATGTCCTTGGTGCCCACTGTCATTAACTGGATGCACACAATCATAGGTAGGGTCAGAATCAGAGAGACTACCCAGACCAGCAAAGCAATAGCCTTGCGGTAACTTTTGGATCGCTTGACTGTATCAAGTGGCTTGAGCACTGCAAAATAGCGCTCTGTGCTCATGACGGCCAGGGTGAAGATGATGGCATGCATTGTCAGGAAGTCCATGCTGATCAGTATCCGACATCCTGCATTTCCAAAGTACCACACCTTCAGGAAGTGTGTGCAGACCACAAAAGGGATGGTGAGTAGGTACAACAAATCTGCCAAAGCTAAGTTGATAATGTAGATGTACATTGAGGCTGCAGTCCTCATGGATTTGCACATGACCACGAGGGTATAGATGTTTCCTGAGACTCCAATGAGGAACATGATGGAGAGGATGGTACCAATGGTGAAGGTGGCAGCTGCATCGTGGTGTGAGCTCAGGGGTGAATCAGTGGCATTGGCACTCTTTTCCACCAGGACTCCAGGCTCCATGGATATGTTTGTCATGCCTGGAGAATTAGAAAAGATATGTTCAACTCTAATATAAAATAATCACTAAACAGACCTGCTTTTTAATATAAATGGATGTTAGGTAATAACTTGATTAGGTTTCTTCACAAGCAAAGGTTTCATTGCATTTTTGCAAGACAGAAGACCTAAAGCCTTTACTTTCTTCCTCTTGAAAATAATGAAAGCCCCCATTTTGCTCCTGCAAAATAACTCACAGTTCATGCAAATGTTCTTGACTCAGAATAATATGTGTAACAGTTGGCACCACAAGGTGTCACAACTTCCTTAAGTCTAACCAGGGGTCTGCAATCTTTACGATCAAAAAGAGCCATTTGTGCTCYTTGTCTCACTAATAAAATGTGTTCGGAGCCACAAAACAAGCTACAATCGTTGATCATCATCTGGTGGTCTGTGGGTTAGGGTTAGGCCTTTTTCAAGGCCTTTTTGGGAACCTTTACAGTCCGTGGAGGTGACATTATAAAACTAAAAAATATTATTATTATTATTATTATTATTATACACATCATCAGGACAAAAAATACAATATTCATGTAAACAAGAAAAATACTGTATATTGTTTATACAGAATTTCATAAAAACTAGTACAACTGAATTATTCAGGTGTATTTTTTTCTAATTCTTATTATTATGTAGTCTTAAAATTATTTAAAGGTAATTCTGATGGATTTGAGAGAAAGATCACAAAAAGAAATTGGAATATTAAAGTAAACAACAGGCWAACATGAGCTAACRTTTTACTTTTTATATTAGKASTATTGATCACATATTTGCATAAAAATTKATTTCTGTTGTGGGTACAAAACCCCCCAAAAAGAAAATTTATAATAATAATTCTGTCATCTTTGGTCACATTTTCAAAGAGCCACTGCAGAGGGACCAAAGAGCCACATGTGGCCCCAGGGCCGCAGGTTGCAGACCCCTGGTCTAAGCTCCTATAAAGAGGAAGCTGGCGGTGCTGTGGGGAAGTGTCAATTTCCTGCAGGTGTGTGACCAGGTGTGTGTGTGGACACACGTTCCATTGTTTGGTGATTGTGGTAGGTTTGGAGGAAAACTGTTTTGATTGTTTTAATAATTTAACGTGGTGATGTGTGTGGTGTTTTTATGCAGGACCACACAGTTAGTGATGTTCGGATCACTAAAAGTATTTGACCATGTGACTTCAGTAGTTCCAGACAAAAGCCAGCCTTGGTTAACATTACATATTAGATCTAACTAAATACATGCAGTACCTTTAATGAAATGTAAAACATTTTAAAAAAGGAGAATTATCCACTTTACTACAACAATGTGTTTCGGATTAAATTCACTCTTACCTGGGCTGCCAACTTRTAGAAAAAGGTTCAATACTCAGTTAACCACAGCTCCATCTGCCATGATTTGATTCATGTTGCTCTTCCAATGTTTGCACTTATAGCAAAAAATTCACACATCAAAGAAGCTTCCACATAATCCTAWAGAGTAACTTGGAGCTAAATGCATGTGGATCAAAAAGAGGGGGGTCTATGTCCAGTAGAACTGAGATGGAGAAATATCCTAAAAACTAATATTATATTACAGCAAATACCTCCCCTGTGTTGAGCCTATATATGTTAAAAATAAATTCATCCACAATTACAGGAAAAGGTTTTCTGCAGCATCCAAAGTTCTCTTCCATTCTATTGAATATTTATGCCCCTCTGTAGCGTCCAGGTTCTGAACATCAGCTGGAAAATCCACAGTGGAGAATTCCAATTCCAGAGGAAAAATAAATAAACAAAGAAGAGAAAATCATCAATGAAATGGTGATAAGTGAGGGATTACACTAAGCTATGGCTGATTTTTGTGAGTCCTGTCTTTAACTGAGGGAGAGTAACAGAGAGCGGTACAGAGAGAGAGAGGGAGAGAGAGAGWGTGTGTCAAAGGTAGAGTGGAGAGAGGGAGAGAACATGCTGATAGTAAAGCACTCTCATCTCTGTCTTTCCCCAAGTGGGAGGGGAAACAGGCAATGGAGCGAGGTATGCGGGAAATGTGTTCTGTTCCCTCTGCAGCCTCCATGCCATCTTTCCATGCAACGAGAGAGCGTGCCACACACAGGAACAGAGGGATTTAAAACACTTTGGACTCTGATGGAGCAGCCCTACTGACTCAAAGACACGTAATAAACCCATTGTTGAAAACACAGCCTGCAGTAGCTATGAAGATATTTATTGGGGTGTTTACGACTGACCTTTAAAAGACACTACACATTGTATAGTCTTTTATTAGGTGAACAGTGATATATTTCTATAATGTGGTTATCTCTGACTGAATTGATGATTTTATGTGCAGAATGGGTTGTGGGACTTTTGACCAGGGTCTCACACACTCAAGAAGCTTTTAGTCAGATACACGTCTGATTTAAAACAACGCATAAGAACCATGATCAAACATTAGGGTGAGGRATAATGTCTGACATTTCAACTCYGTGTAGAGACAGCCTGCCCCTTTAACACATGTCATGAGGTGGAGTCAGGATGTGAAGAGGTTGTTTTTGGGGTCTGCTCACTGTTTAGCTGATGTCAGTCGAAGGCACATTAAAAAAAGCTAATCATTCCACAGCTGTGTCTGAATGGTTTTTTTTTTGGCTCACTCAAACATTCAYATGTCATTATTATTAACTGGTGTTAGATCTGAACAGATAAAGGATAAAGAATATTGTCTATGTTTTAAGAGAAAATATCCAATATTTTAATGTATACAGTACTACCCAGGTGAATGTCACCTTCCAGAGGAGCCTGACAAAAGTAATAATAMGTAAAAATTCTATGAAAATGAACAAATAAAAGTAAGACATTGCTTTTCAACCATGCTTCTACAGAATTAAAAAAAATCAAACTCATGAAACAGGTCTGGACAGAAATGATGGAACACCTGAAAATATCCTGATGCATCTCAGTAATCCAGGTAAAAAAAAAAATCAAAAAGAAAAAAAATTGTATAGGTCTTCTGGACGGGTTCTTCTCTAATGAAATGTTTCATTAGAGAAGAACCCGTCCAGAAGATATTGATATTGAACAATACTCGAGTAAAAAGATCGATACTCAAGCTTTGTTCTTTCCTGCACACACTTAACTGCTGCACACGCAGATTTTTCAAAGTCTTCTCTCTTTCTGTAGTGCTGCACTGTGTCACACAGCACGGAGCAGCACAGTATTTACTTGGTATCGGATCAATACCAATATTCCCAGTATTGCCCACCTCTAATCACAGGTGTCTACAATCTTGTCATCAGTCAGTGGGCCTGTTTATAGGGCTCCAGATACTCACTGTGCTGTTTGATGACATGGTGTGGACCACACTCAACATGGACCAGAGGAAGTGAAAGAAAATGTCTCAGGAGATTAGAATGAAAACTGACCCCGCACGCACCTATGCACTAGAACTCAGAAGTCTCTATTCCTACCAAATTYCATGCTGCTAGGTGTGTCGAGTAAAAAAAAAGAAATATGAAAATGTTCTTACAGCTTTTACCTGCTTTACAGCAGCCAGCTTCCACCTGCAATGCATCATGGGATTGGTTGGTTGAAGAAAGATGATTTAAGCAGTTTTATATGTACAGACACCACTTTTTCAGATAAAGTGGGGGTCCGGGAGG